AAGTGTTCCTCCCTTTGTGCCAGACTGTGTGTCTACACAGCCGGGAAGAGAGGAGATATGTATCCCCCTACTTATAATGTGAGGTGCTACCCACATTACAGTCAAGAGTTTGGGAGCAGACTCTACAGAGGCCGATTAGGAAGGGCCATTTCTTGGTAAAAGCAGAGTGGTGTCTGGGGTCATAGGAGCAAAGGGGAAGACGGAACATACCAACCGAAGTGGCAGTAGGGGCCTCCCCAGTCCTGTGAATCTTCCTGGTCTCATAGAATTCCTTTGAGGCTAAAGCCAACCAGGAAGGTAGATTTCAGTCTGTCGTGAGCTCCAACGTGTCTGTAAACATTGGAAGGCCATATAATGGATGGTGTGTCATTTTTATATAAGTAATGTAATATAGGACATCTGTAACTAGTAATGCAGGGTTAGATTTTCACCATCTTTAAATTGCTTCGTTGTTCTATCACATCAGTGTTTCCTAAAAGGTGAATCCTTTTTATCTTTCTCCTCTCTTAGATTCTATTTAAAATTCTATTAGAAGGAAAGGATTCCACCACCAGACAAACAAAAGAAGCATTGACTCCAAAAAGTAGAAAAAGATGGCAGTCTCAGAGAATTCACTGATAGTCCTAACTCACAATATATAATGGCTCCCAGTAGTCCTCAGGAGATTGCTCCATCACAAGTGTATTTTTGTGACGGTGGTGGCTCACATGATGGCCTCCCCCAGAGAAAGAAGTACTAGGGTATCCAAAACTGACATGGTTAGCTGTTAGGCTGGGTAGGCATCCCTGAAGGGGTCACTGGGGCACGCGGACTGGTGAACCACTGACTCATCCACGGTTAGTTTTCATCTGTCCGTTCTAGTCATTTTACTAAGGCAGGGACTAGACCTGCGTTTTCCAGTTCAATAGTCGATAGACCCATGTGGTTACTGACGACTTCACAGTGGCTAGTCCTCTGTAAATTGTCCTGTAAGTGTAAAATACACACCAGACTTTTAAGACTTAGTACAAAAAATGTAAAATAACACATACATTGGGTTAAAGTAAAATACATTTAAATTAACTTTGCTAGCTTCTTTTAACTTTTTTTAAATGTGGTTTCTAGAAAATGTAAAGTTACCCATGTGACTCATAATATATTTCTTTGGAAAGCATTGGGCTAGAATAACAGGTTTTAGAAAGATGTCTATTGTTACCATAAAATTGTGATGTTACCCTTAGTTATTTAGGAGACTCTTTTAGCGAAACACATGATTTCCTTGACCGTGAGGGCTAAATGGGGCATTATTGAGCTTGAAGGCTGGTGGAATTGTTACCTTTTCAAAAGTTTCACCTCAGAGCCAGATTTAAAATTTTAGTATTAGGAAAACAAGTGTTTCTCTCCAGTCTTTCCCATTAGCCTTTGTTTTAATTGAACTGAGGAAATCTTTACTGAGTACTTTGTATCATACTGCTCTGTTGTTTTGGAATCAAAAATACAATACAGGGGTAGAAGGGTTTCTGCGGTGAGAGTAGTTAGACGTTTGAAATTATTTTTTAAAAACCATTTATTTCCTAGTTCATGCGCTCCTATAGTTGTTTTTTTCAATTGTCAACTTTCTAAATAGACTTTGGAATTGAATTTATGTACTTAATTATGTTTATCTTTGATACTTTTTGCCTCGCCTTCTAGGGGAACAGAAATGAGGGCCAAATACAGTGCTTGCCAGGATAAGTCAACTCCGTCAGCAGGGCACTAAGTGGGTTCTCCACACCGGTTTATCCTTTGAGATCTACAATAAACTCACACAGCTTCTATGGAAAACAGTATAAATGTTCCTCAAAAAATTAAGAACAGAGAATCACCAGATGATCCCGCAATTCCATTCATGGGTATATATCCAAAGGAAACAAAACAACTGTGTAGCACTCTATTTACTGCAGCATTATTTACAAGAGCCAGGACACAGAAACAACCTAAGTGTCCCTGGAGGGATGAATTCTGAAAGAAAACACGCTGTACAAATACGGCGGCATACTATTCAGCCATAAAAAAGAAGGAAATCTTGCTGTTGAGAACAAAATAGATGGACCCTCCAGGCATTTTGCTAAGGGAAATAAAAGTCAAACAAAGAGAAAGACAAATACCGTAGGATCTTACTTATTGTAGAATCTAAAAATAAACAACAAACAACTCCTAGAAACGGAAACCAGATTGGTGGTTGCCAGGAGTTGGGGGGCAAAATTGGGTGAAGGGGGTCAAAGGGGACAAACTTCCAGTTTTAAGATTAGTAAATACTGGGGTAGAATTAATGTCGGCCCGGTGACTGTCAGCAATGCTCCTATACTGTATATTGGCAAGTGGCTAAGAGTAGATCTTAAAAGTTCTGATCAGGAAGACAAAAATTTTTGTGACTGCGGTGCTATCAACTAAATTCACTGTGGTGATCATTTCTCAATATATACGTTAGCAATTCATGCTATACACCTTAAATTATATACAATGTTATATGTCAGTTACATCAATAAAACCAGAAGGGGGAAAATTCTATAAAAAATTATTGTCTAGGTTTTTTTTTCACTCTTATGAATGCAACTCTTAAGCCATAATGCTAGCATTTTAATGTGGTTTGAATGTACTCACCATCCTTTGATAAGCTGCTTTGAACAGCGTGTGAATTTGGGTATGAACCTCTGGCCTGTTTTCCCTTGAATAACACTTGCATTTATAGGACAACTTGACACAGTATCCCTGGTAGTATTTAGGTGGGAAGATAATTTTTTTTAATGAAATACCCAAATTTAGAAAATCGTTGTGCAAGATAAATTACATTTCATTTGTAAAGAAGGAGATTTTGAAATCTGTTTTGTTCAAAGATTGAGAAGTCTTGATTCATTCTTTCAACAACTCTAAAATGTGTTTTATATATGGTTTCGTGTAAAAAGCCTTACAAATATGTGAATTCTACTTCTGCCCTTAACATTAAAAACAGGAACACTGAAAATTGGGATTTTGAGCAAGTTTACCTTCCTTAACTAAGAATATTATTGGAAAATACTCTAAATGGGGTAGAATTCTGTATTTTTTTAACTGTTTGTAGTTCCTTGGTGATTTAAGGAAGCTATACAGTGTATGGTATTTGTGCTTCACTTTTTAAGCATCGATAAGCAGTCTGCATGAGGGATTCAGAATCCGTTGCAGACTCCTGAACGACATCAGGGAGCCCTCGCTCTCCTAGCAAGAATGCCCGCCGGTGCCAGAGTGAACACTGTGGCCTTGCAGGTTTCCCTAAGAGGATTCTGCTCTTTAGGAAAATTAGATTGCACTCTGAATTCTGGCAATGGGTCCTCTTCTCCCGCTACTTGAATAAAGAGAGGTCTTACTTTAGGCAACGTCGTGCAAACAGGGTGAGTTTTGCAGGAACGTATCCATCAGATAAGCTCAGGTTGTATCAGCATCTGAGTGTTTAGGTGCATCTCACCTTATGTGCTAACAGCAGAGTAAAAAGCCACATATTTCAGAGAAGGGAACGGTGCCTGCCGTTGCTCGTGCAAAGGGACAGAAAAAACCAACAGCTGAGGTAGCACCGGTTGCTCAGTTGGGACAGACTGTGGCCTCTGCGTCCTCACCCCAGGCGGGGTCTCTTTCGGAGAAGCCCAGGGGGGACGCCCACTCGAACTCACAGGACACTTTTAAAAAGTTTCGTTTTGCACTTTTACGTTTAGTAGCGCAAATTAGGCCAAAGAAACATTGCCCGGAGAAGGAGATGGTTGGGAATCAAGCATGGACCATGTTTGTGACGCACTGTAAGTGCGTCCTCTGGGATCTGGGGGGGGGTGGGGGGGAGGTTGGGGAAGATCAGATTGAGCAGAAAGAAACAGGAATTTGGAATTTGGAATTCAGTACGGAGGTGAAGCTGTACCAGCCCCATTGTCGGGGGCTTTTCACGAATGTAGCAGTTGCTTTGAAGCAAGGGATGGTTGTACTGTTTATTTTTAACAAGCCAAATTGAATATTTTCCACCCAAAGATTGTCATGCTTTCGAAAATAAATGGACTTGTATAGTAGTTTTTGCTTCAAATTTTGTTTTTTCATTTTAATAGATTTATATGGGAAATTGATATAAATGTGTAAATATAAATTATGCTCTTTGTCAAACAACTTGTCAATTACCTAACATAAGAGGAAAACAGTTTTCTCTAGGAAACATTCTGTAATGACATAAAAAAGCATATATATATTTAAAAGTTTGTTAAAACTGTAAGAATGTATTTGCAGTGAAAGGAGAAGTCCCATGTATCGGGGTCTTTATTGTTCATTTTTTGAAAACCAGAGCTTCAAATGTTGTAAAAAATAAAATGTAGGTTGGAGAATTTTCACTTGTGATGATGCGTTATTTCCAGCATGCTTTATCTCAGAGGACGTATGCTTGTCCCTCGGGCCCAGCTTCTCTAAGCATTCCACTCCTGCCCCTCACAGCCCAGGGCCTTAGATGTGTCAGGGCTCCTCTCCCAGCCCAGCCCGTGCCTCTCCTGCCCAGAGGTGTTCAGCCACAGCACATGACCTACAGCATCAAGTCCAAGTTGCTTCGCATGCTCCTTGAAGGCTTCCTACAGGTAAGTCCCAACTTTTCTTCCTGAGACTTCTCTTGCTCCATGTACTTCTTCAGATAAGCTGCTGTCTGCCAAGCAGACCATCTGCCTCGAGTGCTCTGCTGAGCTTCTGGTTCACAGCTGCCCATAGCCCTTCCGGTCCTGCCGGGTCCTGGGCATCTTTCAAGGCTCAGCTCCTACACCCCATCCGATGAAGCTTTTTCCTGATTCCCCCAGCTCTCAGAGCCTTTGTGGTTACCTAGCCTTGCGTGAACCACCTCATACCACCTCTGTATTCCTGCATCTGGTAGGAGACATACCTTCCCCGTCACTAGAATGCATGCGTACAGTGAAGTACTTCAAAGCCCAAGTCCCAACAATGAAAGTGCAAAATCTGATTAGCGTAACTAATATGGTTTGCTTTTGTTGATGCCAAAAAAAATTTCTTGGTCTTTTTGCAGATTTGAATTAGATTGTTAAGTGTCTGAGATCAGGCCTCCGTGTTCTGAACCATGTTGCACATGGAATCACGTGGGGAGCTTTACTGATGCCTGGGTCCCAACCCCTCTGGGTGTTCTTAGGTAATTGATCTGGAGTGTGGCCTGGGCATAGGGATTTTTTTTTTTTTTTTTTAGCTTCCCAAGTGATTCTAGTATGTAGCAAAGGTTGAGAACTTCCACATTTGTGATTTAGAAAGTGATTTATAAATGTATAATGGCAAAGTAAAGGCTTACATTTACAAAAGAAAATTAGGGTGTTATTAATTCAGCCTAATAAATCAGAAAATATCTTAAGATTTAAATTAAGGTCTTGTTACCTGGCTAGTCAAACAAAGCTCTGGTTTAAAAAAAAAATAATAACAGAAGCAATCTTTACAATATCAACACTTGATGTAAATTAGGTTGTCTATAAATAAGGAAAACAAATTTATTGGGCTTTAAACTATAGCATATTTTTTAACTTGGCATCAAATATACAGGGAGAGCCTAAGGTTTCCATTTATTTATTTAATTTGTTTGTTTGACAGAGAGAGACACAGCGAGAGAGGGAACACAAGCAGGGGGAGTGGGAGAGGGAGAAGCAGTCTTCCCGCGAGCAGGGAGCCCGATGCGGGGCTCGATCCCAGGACCTTGGGACCATGACCTGAGCCGAAGGCAGACGCTTACCGACTGAGCTACCCAGGCGCCCCAAGAGTTTAAGGTTTCTAATAATAAAAAGTATTCTGTGGGAATGCCGAAGAAACACGGGATAGGCTGGAATTGTATTGTTAAAGAATATTCTTGGTTTAAGGAAAACAGGCAACTCCAGTATTCTAAACTTTAGTAATTCCTGACAGCTAGCTGCAACCAAGAATGAACTTCTTTGCATACTTTACGCGTTTGCATAGACCAGGATTTAACATAGTCTACTGACTTCCAGCAAGGATGCAAAACAGTACCCGTGCCAACGGTTTTTGTTGTTGTTTCCCCACCTAGGGAATGTTGCTTTCATCATTTCCAGGTTCATTCAGAAAAGGTTGCACTGGACTGAAGTGGTCAGTCTTTCCACCGCGTAGCACTGCTGCCCTCCTGTGGAGTCTCCAGGCATTTGACATTCCTGAAGTCCTTCCAACTTGGTCATTATTCAGAGGTTCCTGTCCTTGCTGTGATTCCCAGAAGACATTTTAAATTTCATTTGGGATCTAGTATTAACTAGGTCTTTTCTGCTTTCCTTCTGTGAAATCGACATTTTAAAAGGGCTCACCTCTGTCCCTTGTTGCTTAAATATGGGGAAGCAGAATATTGGGGGCTGTGGTAACTTTTTCCTTCCTTCTCACTTATGTACCTGAAGGTGAACGAATCGTCACAAGTACAGGTCACAATGAGAAAGTAACCCACCCCGATTCCTGACTCGCTACCCCAAGAAAACTTGTATATGGGGAGTAGCAGGAGCTGCTTATGTTTACATCATAAACATTTATCTCCCTTACACAGCTTTTAAAAAATGGAATTGTTTTTATGTGGCAGTGGCAAGACTTGTTTCGAACTATGGAAACCAAGCAAGAGCTCCAGCGTCCTGGTGCTTAGGGCTGGTGGCTTCAGGGAGAATCTGGAGACCACCGTCGTTTAGATGGGCACTTAGTTATGGTGTTTGGGAAAATGCCAGTCATCGGATCACCCAGCACCACCCGAAAAGGCTCCTGGGAAAACACCCCTTCAATTTGTATATGACATGGGACTCAATTCCTTATTGGAGAATTCCTTGGGGAGGACCCCATGGGACCATGCTTCTCCAGCTGTAGTGTGCAGGCAAGTCTTCTTAAAATGCACATTCTGATCCAGCAGGTCCCAGGTGGGGCCCAAGATTCAGCATTGCCACGAGTTCTACATACTGCTGCTTGTGGTAGGCTAATGGCCTCCAGAGATCACGGAGTCCTAATACCAAACCCCTGTGAATGTCCCCTCTGTGGCTAAGGTTCTTTGCACATGGGATCTTGCGGGGGGGGAGGGGGCGGGATGCTGAGTGTAATGACACGGTTCCCTAGAAGGGAGGACAGTGGGGAAGCTGACTGCAGCAGAAGGCGGTGTGACCCTGTGGCCAAATGCTCTGCTACCGGCCTTAAGGATGGAGGCAGGGACCACTAAGCCAAAGAA